CTACGACTTCGCACGCGTGGCCACGGCTCTCGTGTTGGACGGCGTCGATGCGGACGCCTTCAACGGCGACGCGGGCGCGATCGAGGTGTTCAAGGTCTCCATCTCCAACACGCTGACCGACGTCCCGGAAGAGTCGATATCGGGCGTCGCGGCGCGCGACTACGAGAATCGCCGTCTCGTCGCCATCGAGGGCCGTCGCCGACTGAGCGACGCGACAGAAATCAGCTTCGAGCTCGAGGTGGCCGGCGATGGCTCGTCGGCCGTTTCCGAGCTCAATTCGGCCGTGGAGGACGGGAGCTACGCCACGGCGCTGGCCGCGGCCATCGAGAGCGGATCCGGATCTGCCCTCGAATCGGCCACGGTGAACACGGAGGCGTCGCTCCTGACAACAGCCTCGTCGACCGTCACCCTCGGCGCGTACACGTCGTCGCCTACGGCGACCTTGTCGCCGCCGACGCCGACGCCGACGCCGTTGCCGACGCCGCGGCCGACGCCGTCGCCGACGCCGCGGCCGACGCCCGCTCCTACGGACTCGCCGTCGACGAGCTCGCCGACGCGCGCGCCCACCTCAGTGCTCGCGACGCGCCGTCCTTCGACGGCCGCGCCGTCGGATCGCCCGACGCCCCGCCCGACGGTGCCGTCGACGTGCCTCGTGCCGCACCCGGCCTACGTCGGCGACGGCGCCTGCGACCCGGGCGCCTACAACAGCGAGGCCTGCGGCTACGACGGCGGCGACTGCTGCGAATCGACCTGCGAGGACGGCCCCGTCCACGCGTGCGGACGAACGGCCTACGCGTGCCTCGATCCGGCGGCCGTCGAGTTCGTCCCGACGACCCCTTCGCCGACGCCGGCGCCGAGCGCGAAGCCGACGCCCGCGCCGAGCCCGCGGCCGGGAAGCCCGACCGCGTCTCCCACGACCGCGGCGCCCGCGCCCGCGCCGAGTGGCGCGCCCTCGCGGGCCCCGACGGCGCTCGCCTGCGAGGCGGGCGCCTCGATCTACAGCCTCGAAATGTTCGATTCCGGCCTCGACGGCTGGACCGACGCCTTCTTCTCGCTCTACTCCGAAAGCGGGGACCGCGTCTTCCACGCGACGCTCGACGCCGGAGCGACCGGGACGGAGCGCTTCTGCCTCGCCGACGGCTGCCTCGCGGCATCGGTGAACGGCGACGGCCTCTTCCCGGAGGAGGTCTCCTGGACGCTCGGCGACGTGACCGGTGGTGCTCCGACAGAAATGTCCATGCTATTCTCCGGCGGAGACGTCCAGGAGTCGTGCTCCACGGAGCTGCCCACGCGCGCTCCCTCGTCCGAGCGGTCGCTCACGCCGGCGCCGACGACGACGACACTCGCTCCGACGAGTCTCGCGCCCTCGCTCCAGCCGACGGCGAGCGCGGCGCCGACGGTCGTCGCGTCTCCCGCGCCGACGTCGGTACCCGCGACGAGCCCCGCCTACTGCCGCCTCCAAAGCACGGAGGCCTGCTGGGGCAACACGCACCGCTTCCGAGAAAGTCGCCTCGGGTCTCTGGACACGGCCCTCGACGCGGCGTTCGCGTTCGAGGACGTCGACGGCGACGGCGACGTAGACGCCGTCGTCGCGACGGACGGGTCGATGTTCTACCTCCGGAACGACGGCGGCGAGTTCGTGTGGAAGCCCTTGGAGGAGATGCGCGTCGGGGCGAGGACGCGCCCGGCACTCGGAGACGTCGACGGAGACGCGGACGTGGATCTCGTGTTGGGCACCGCCGCGGGCCGGATCGACTACCTCGAAAACGCGCGAGGTAAATTCGTCAACATGACGGGACGCGCGAACCCGTTCGCCAGCGTCGACGTTGCTGGAAATCATCCAGCTTTGGT